TGTGTGGATCATACATCACATAGTGTGGGGCTGCTTGTGGTATATTGTGTGTGGATCATACATCACATAGTGTGGGGCTGCTTGTGGTATTGCAAGTGAGGTGAGAGACTGCTTGTGTGATTGTGTGTGTGGATGTGGATTGTCAGTGGTGTTGTGTTTGTGGGGACTGTGTGAGTTTGTGTGTGTGCTGTTTGTATGATTTGTATGAGGGGGGAGACTTATTCTGCAGCACTGTGTATATTTAGGAGTGTGGGTGGCTTCCCTAAGGTCCAGTGGGGACTGGTCTGGCCAGGTTTAGGTCAAACTACGTTTTTGCTGCAGGGTGCTCTATTCCAGTGCGGATTCCTGTTCACAGATTCTGGGTGGAAGTGATCTGAGATCACTTCCCCTAAGTGCTGCAGTGCGTAAATTGAGGATTGTCCCTCACCACCTTTCTACGCTAGAAGATATCTGAAGTTCAAATGGGATTCCTTTTTGGCTCTGGCAGCCTTGAGTTTGGTGCACAGGCACTTCAGTACCATGCTTGGCACATGTGCCATAGATTGCTGACCCCTGGTATAGAACATAGATGGAGACGTTTGTGAACTACATAGGGTACTTTAGCCAGCCATCACTGGCATTGGACATGGAATCTCTGGCCAAGATATCTTCACTGCCTCCTGCAGTTATAATTGATATGCATGATTTAGCAATTATTCCATGTAGCTACAGGACTTGAACTTTATACAGGTAAAGATAAAGATTGTTCCAGAAGTAATGGCTGGCATTGCTATTGGATTTTTTTTTCTTGCTAACAAGCTGTAAGCAGGTAATTTGTTTTGAACACAACTGCCTGAGCTCCAGTCTACCTTTATGCTATAGCAATGTCCTCGTCAAGGTCATCTTGATATATGTTCTGCTTTACTCTTTTACTAACGTGGTTACATTGTGCAGGTTTATGATTTGTTAAAGGCACATATACCCAGATATGAAGAATTGTAACCTTCACTTGATATCTAAGACAATTTTACAGTTTTGCACACATTCCAGAGTTTAAAAAGAAAAGTTACTTTGGAATTATTCATAGCCTCTTTAACCCCTTAAGGACCAAACTTCTGGAAACAAAATGGAATCATGACATGTCACACATGTCATGTGTCCTTAAGGGGTTAATTTCAGGAATCATATGTATTCATTTCAGGATTCAAATGCATTTGGTATTATTTAAATGATTTTGGGGTATAGAAACTGTCTTCCACGTCAGAAAGGGAAACAACTAAAGCATTAAATGCTGCTGAATGTTTCCCAGATACCCTTCAGGGTTTATATGAAAGGGTTTTAGAACAGCCATTCACGTGAATACCAGACATGGCTACAAGCAGTTTCATTCATGAAAAAGAGGAACATAACGCTACTGATGGAAGTTCATATCAGCTGGCTTTTCATGGATAAAGTTACACGCTCTCCTACTACATTCTGTTCAGCACTCAATAGAAAGCTGAGAGCAATAGTACATATCCTACAATTACACCTTCTGTGCAGGCTTACGGGCATGTGCTCTCACTCAAAAGCATGGAAGAAACAGGATTAGAGACACTTACTTGTCTCACTACAGAACATCCTAAGGATCTGATCCAAATTTAGGAGCTACACAAACAGGGAATATGATTGTCCTTCGATTTGTCCCTGCTCAGGACTCAATTGCTTCAATACATTCAGGAGCTATTGTTATATGTTGCTTTTTTTATTTGGTTGTATGTTTATTATCTGACTTAATAATGCAGTAAAATGTGCCAGTTGTAGCCTGAGTACAGTATTATAATTAGAGGGTGACATGCCCAGTGGGCATGGTTCATTGCCTGCTGAACAAATACTGTCAATTAATGTGGTGTGTATTCATTGTTTCATTGTCAAAATACTGTATGCTTAACTAATGTGAAGTTTGTAGCGGCTGCATGGGATTGTTACTCAGTAGAGGTGGTATGATTGACTACAGGATGATAAAGGTTAATTTGGCTCCCTAAAATGGTGTAGCAATTAAGGCATGTTCTATTTTCCTGTTTGTAAACCAAATAGCGCAGAGGAATTTATAAAAATGGTCTCTGACCCCTGATTTCTGAGGTCCAATGATATTTATCACCAGACCTTTTCAGATAAGCTATCAGAGATGGCTTGGAAAATAACACCACACTTGTAGAGCCATTTACCAAAAGTTTGGAAGTGATTTTAGATACGATTTTGTTTTTTGGGGCATTAGACATGAAATATATGTCATGTCTGGTCTCAAATTAATTATCTGAATTCACTGAGATGATATGGTTACAGAGCGATCTGAAATAACTGTATGTAAGCATATTAAATAGTGCATTTTCAGTCAACTTTTGGAATACATTAGTTACCTGTCATAATCTCATTTTCCTTGCCAAGAGCTCTTGGGACAGAAAGAATGGTACTTTATCTGCTTGTAGGTGTATTTACATGTTTAAACATATTTTGTAATTGAATGCACTATGGCTATGTTTATGTCTAATAAATGTTCCTTTATAACATTTTGCTTTCTCTGGTATAAGAATCACATTACCAAAGGGACTAATATTGTAATACTGTGATTTCATAGATTTTGTTAAATTGTGTTTGTGGGTTTTTAAACTACTTTGGTTGGGGTAAACTAAAATGCCTAATTTACAAATTTTCTTGACGATGGCATGTTTTATACTAGACGGCAGGTGTAGGTAGTGTTAAGAGGGATTTTCTTATTATTTTGGGTCTATTTAAGAGAAATGGTTATTTTTAACGCTTTCATCCACTGAAGCTAGTCACGTGCCAACTTGGGAGAGGTGGCGTTCATGACAGGGGGTTTTGGCATTGCTAAATCCAATACACACATACAGGCCCGGACTTGCCATTGGGCGCACCGGGCAAATGTCCGGTAGGCCACGATGTCCATGGGCCGGCAGGGGAAGTCACAGGACCTCCCTGCCCGGTCCATGCAGGGCCTGTGCTATTCGAGCGGCGGCCCTACTGTGTGCCTTCATGGGCCGGTGGGAAGATCAAAGATCTCCCTCACCGGCCCACTAGCACTAACACGCGGCTGCTGGCTGAGGAGGGCGGGAGAGAGGACCCAGAGGAGCTCTATCTTGCAGCTCCACCAGGTTCCTCTCGCGAGATTCCGGCGCGTCAACACTTCGGGTCTCGCGAGAGTGAACTCTAGCCCCACAGGCTAAAGTTCAGTCACCACTAGGACCACCAGAAATGGCAGCACGGTCCCCCCTTCAGGCTAAAGGTAAGAAAGGAGAGGGGATATAATGCACCCTCACACAGCACATTAACACACACAGCACCCTCACCCACTGCAAACCTCACAAACACATTGCACACCTCACACACACACACTGCACCCACACACACACATACTGCACCCACACACACACACTGCACCCCTCACAAATACACACTACACCCTTCACACCTCACACATACACACAGCAGCCCCCAAACACACTGCACCACACACACACAATACTTCCAAACATATATGTATATATACTATAGAACCCCTCACACACATACTGCACCCCTAAACACATTACATTCCAGACACAAACTAGATCCCTTACCCAACTCTGGATCATCTACACATATACACTCTGAATCCTCTACACACACACTAAATCTCCTACACACACTGTGGGTCCTTCAAACACACACTAGATGCCCTGCACACAAACACTGCACCACCTACACACACACACACACTACAGTTCTGACATACACTAGATTCCTTGTAAGCAAACACATACTACATTCCATACACACACTCTCTACAACCCCTACACACACTACATCCCCTATACACACACACACACACTTCAGCACGTATGCACACACTCGCTACATCCCCTATACACACTATGCCCCCTATACACACACACTCTACAGCATCTAGACACGCATACATTACATTACACCACAAACACAACATGACTAAAACCAACCTATTAACACAAAACTACAC